TCAAAAAAAAAATATATACACAAAGTAAACCAACTGACAAGCATTTCTAACTTGTAAATAAAATATGAATTAATGATATAAAGGACCTTTATCATTAATCGATCAACCTAATTGATGTAACTGTTCAATATGTTTATTGCTCAGTAAAAGTTATTTAGAGCTGGAAATGTGTATCATAACTCATAACGCATTTTTTTTTATAAGTATAAAGCAAAATTAGTTTTTCTATTATTATCTACATAATATGTACGTATATTATATATTCCAATTAATGAATGTAATAGAACTAGTTTTTTTTTATATTTCTTAGAACAAATTTTCTTGAGATTATAATTTCCAATTTGTATTTATGATACAATCGTATGAACAATATTAATTTTGTTATATTTTAACCTTTTCTTATGTTAGTTTTTCAGAAATGCGTAGACAACACATTATTTTATTCTAGGCTGTTTGCCGCTTTTCACTTAACAATCGATACAATGGTACAATGGAGATTGAGTTGCTGTATGCTGCAATTTCGGAGATTTTAGCGTCTTACCGACTTAAGGGCGGCAGTGCATTGCATTCTCAAGAACCCAGACTCTTTTTATATAATTTTGCTATAAAACTTACGGGAGGCTAGGTATCAATTCATGTTAATAGCTACGTAATCGTAGTTGAGCTACCATATTATGTTAAAACATTATTACCATAAAAAACTAAATTCTTTATAAATAAACTAGCGATTCAACCACGCTCTGCTCGCGTTCGTCCCTTGGTGATTTTTAACGGTTAGTATAGCTTTTTAAGAGACGATATATTTTTCCACAGTAAAAATATCCTAAATGTTCATAGACAGATAGACAAAAATTAAGGTTTTCTTAGATTTACGCAAATATTTAACATTTTAAATACAATTATCTTACGGATTTATTTAGATTTTTGGTTCATTTTAGATTAATGCTTTACACAATACCTACTAGACTAATAAAGGTTTTAGGTGTCGCAAAGGCATTATATAGTTGTTACAAACAACCTACCCACAAAATAACAATATGAATTAAAAAAAATCAAAAATGGCACCAAAGCATCTATCTGCCTTACGGCCTTATATATAATATTTGTTAATTATAATTTTAAACATTTTTAGAATTTTAATCATTTTTATAAATGAATATGGAATATTATTTATTCAATTTTAGCTGTTATTATATAATTATTACAATTTTTCAGAAAACTTTATTATTTAGTAATCTTATTTAGTATTGCTATTATTATATTTATAAACATAAAGAAAATAAAATATTAATTATTCAAGCCACATTATTGTTCTATGTGTAATTAAAAAAATTAAAAAGCTAAAATTAATTAAGAAATTTTTTAATTTAGTTTGCTCTTATTTAATAAATCAAAATATTAAGCAACACACAGGACAGCAGACAAAAATTCTAAAAACTATAGATTCGGCCTCTGTATCGATAATAACGACTATTTCAATAAGATTTTACAAAAAATATTTAATGTACCGATTCAACTTAATTAGGATTTTATTATATGTATAGACTAGCATTGCCCGCGGCTCCGCCCGCGTTCAGATGACAAAAACCAAATTCTTAGGTTTTACATATTAGTATACATTGCAGTTTTTTTATTTTTTCTCAAAAATGAGATATTTTCCCGCGATAAAAAATATCCTATATGTTGACCCCGATAACCAGCTATCAACATACCAAATTTCATGAAAATCTGTCCTGTAGTTTTCTCGTGATGCGGTAACAGACAGACAGAAATGGATTGGCGTGATTTTTTGTATGGTGATAATTGGATGGCTGGAGAGAGATATAGTTTATACTTTTAAACGCGGGAAATAATCTCATTCCCACGGGAAAATATGTAGGTTATAATATAACTAAAAAATATATTTAGGATCAGTATTACTTGAAACTTGGTATTAATGCTTTACAGTACAATTAAGTAAATATGTGTTTTAGCATTTTTCGATATTTCATCCCAAAAGGGGGTAAGATAGAGGATGAAAGTTTGTATGGAACATACGTTTCTAGAGCGTTTTTTGTAGTTTTAGCGCGAGCAAAGCCGCGGGTTCTACAAGTTTTATTATAAATTTTAATATTGCGTCAACTTTGAATTTACCAACCAGGTAACGATTTCAACTATTTTGATTTTGTAAAATCCATATTTATGAAAACCACATTTTAAAGCGGAATGTAAATCGGGATGTTGAGAATTTGAGCGAAAAATATTATATGTATTATGTATATGTATGTATATATTTTCATCACTAACATTAATATATGGTCGATTTAATATCTGTTTTACATTAGTAGTAGGAATTTTACACAGTATGAGACATTAACTTTTGTCATTATATCATAATTGTTGATGTTCTCAGGAAGTCATATATTCGTAATTTGGAGAAAATTGGAGCTTTTTCCTAGAAAAAGATAAAGTTAACCAACTGAAATAATTTCTAAACAAGAACTTTCTAAGTTTAAGCATACATTCGCATTGTTGCTTTTATGCATGAAATGTGCAGTCTCAGGAGAAAAATGAATACTAGACATTCTTGGACATGGTTATATTTACGACTAGCGAAAAACAAAAACAAATCTATCCCCCGTGAACCGCATATTTTTCCGGGATAAAAAGTAGCCTATGTGTTATTCCAGACTATAATCTATCTCTGTGCCAAATTTCATCCAGATCCGTTTAGCCGTTCTGGCATAAAAGAGTAACAAACATACATACATTCTTACAAACTTTCGCGTTTATAATATTAGTAGGATTTATTTTTAAATGTTGTACGAATATTTGTCAAATACTACCTGCTTGAACCTAAGCTTGAAGTTCTAAACTTCAAGAGATATCATTTAAACTGTCAATTTGTAGTGACAAGTCATGGTCGTAAATTCGAGCCCTGTACGTACTTAACACTAGTACCTACATTACTATACATTTTTTTCGGTCTGTTAAATGTTTAAAGTCGAGACCTAGAATATAATATCTCAATACATACCGAGAAAGTGATAAGCTTTTAAAAAGATAATATCTTACTGACCGTACGGCACGGCGGCATTTCTCCACTGCAAACAAAGAGCACTTTATTCTTTTCACTTTCAAAGTCTGGCGGGATGAAAATTCGACACGATCAGTAGGATATCAGGCGCAGGATCAACGACTTTACTTGCTCTCCGAGGCACGGGAGATCAGAGGGAGAGGGGGAGGGGGTGGGGGGTGGTCTCCACCAACTTCCTAAGTCTAAGCTACTACTAGGCATTTCTCGACGAAAAGCACCAGTAACTTTTAAATACTTAAGGCGACCCGAAAATCAAACCCAGAATGTCCAAATTCATAAAAGTTAAATTATTTGTATGAGATTAATAAATGCATGCGAGTAATGCATCTAATTTACCATGTTACATCAAGACGAAGCCAGAGCGGGTCACTAGATGTTATTTTATATTTATAAAGATATGGAAATAAAATCATAATATCGCGCCACGTTACTTTATAAAAGCCACAGCAACTTTACGACTTTAAGTAAAGATCCTTTTACGATAATGACATCGTAGCAAAAATTTTATTTGTCCTTAAATTAAATGGCGTGGTAAATTTTCAAAATTTATTAAGTACACCAATCTTTCTTATATGTTCAATAGTCAGTTCGGGCAATTCAAGACTTTTTTATGGACGATATTTCATCTATCAAAAAAATCATCATCAAATCCTACTAATATTATAAACGCGAAAGTTTGTAAGAATGTATGTATGGATGTATGTTTGTTACTCTTTCACGCAAAAACTACTGAATGGATTTTGATGAAACTTTACAATAATATAGCTCATACATCAGAATAACACATAGATTACATTTTATTTCGGAAAAACGTACGGTTCCCGTAGGATAGGTTTGTTTTTCTAGAGGCGAACTTCAGCGAAATGAGAGTGAGCCGCTAGTAAAAAATAATTACGTGCTTCATTGGTCCAGTGACCGTCAACGTAACCAAGACTACTAACTGAGTTATGTACGCAGCAGATATTATAATGAACCAACCTGCTGTTAAATGCAACCTTCATCGGTGGTCTAATTACAACAAATAAGTTTTCTCTAAAGAAATTCTCAAAAGTTAGCCTGGCGTTGGGAAGTTGGCAGTGTTTTACCCCCGTGCCTCGGAGTAAAGCTCTCGGTTCTACACCTTAATTCTTAACGGTCGTGTTGAAGTATCGTCTCATCGCACTTTGAGTGTGAAAAAGAATAGAGAGTACACTCGTGTTTACGCTCATATTTATGCATTTTAATATCTCCTGTGCCCATGGCTAGTCTCAGAGAGATTAGCCGCCATGGCTAAAATATTTTATTTTACAATGAATTCACAAATAAAAGTCGCAGATGTTGCCACGCACGCTATCTACTATGAAGAAAATAAATATAGTATATAAAACAGAAAAAAAAATAGAATATAGTATACTTAATATTATAAATGTGAAAGTTTGTTTGTTTGTCCTTCTTTCACGTCGAAACGAAGTGAAGGTGAGAGTGGATCGGCATGATTTTTTTGTGTGGAGGTAGTTGAAGGGCTGGAGAGTGACGTACTCGTAAGCTACTTTTTACCGCGGGGGGTTATTTAATTCCCACGGGAAAATACGTTATAATACAATCAAAAAAAATATTTATGATCAGAATTAGTTGAAACTTGGTATTAATGCTCTTCTCTCTCTCTCTCTCTCCTGTGCATTTTTTTACTGAAATTAAAGCACGTTTTTAATTTAAAATACTGGCCTATAACTAGTTTAAAAAAAATCGAATTCTTTTAGAACTGTAATGGACACTAATGCTGCTGATAATCAATCAAATAAAAAATTAAAGCCTGAATTCTTTTCTGTTATATACTATCTAAATATAAATTCTATAACTTTTTTAAAGAGTAAGTTTAAATTCATTTCTATTTATTCTATTTAGATTGTTTCAAAAATAGATGTTTTACTTCGAATAGCCGTTAATGAATATCATGATATCTGTTCCCCCATCTTCACTGGTTTGACTAAGATTATTTTTCGCCCTAAAAATATTTACTTCATATTTACCTCACTTAAGACGTTGATTCTTTAAGGCCGATCAAAAAAAATCTTTTTAACTTAAAAATTTAAAGAACTTTTAGGTCTTTATTCGTCTATAAGTAATCTGGTTTGAAATATTTAAATATGTTGGGTCGGGATTAATATTCAAATAAACTTCAATAATAGCTAATTACTGCTATTTACATGTAAAAATGTATATACCTCGCATAGAATTTTCATCAAAAGAGTGAGTGTACAGAAAAAACGAAAAATTCGCGGCTTGTAATGTCATAAAAAAATATTATTTTATTTTATACTTTTTAATTGCTGATGCAAGCCTGATGTAAGTAAGTAGTTTTAAAGTATTTATACTGGATAGCTAACGTGACATCGTTAGCTTCGTTTTCTAGGTATACTATGAAAAGAAAGTCTGTTAAGATCGATCTAATATGATAGCCATCCAACTTATTAATTATATTCGACTTTATGCAAATCACAGTCAAATCAGAATCTGTTTCGGAACAAAATATAGAAAACCTGAAGTTTTATGATTTTAAAATGTTAGCATATATCATGAATAATATTATTATAATATTATCATGAGAATAGAATTTTTTAAAAAGAAATATATTAAAACAAATTTAAACTCAATACCTACAGACTAAGGCGTTTTTGTCTATTAGTAGTCTTATTTAAAGAAACGCTTATAATCATTTATGATATTTATGTAAAATAGTTACGTAAATTTCTTCTTCAAAATAATAATTTTAAAGACACACCCACGCGTATATTTATGGTTTCTGTAATAATATCAAAAGTTAGCAAAGCTACCGTCAGCTTTATGAAAAATGTATGAAAGTTGTGGATTTGCACTACAAATGCGCGTATTTAGTTCGCAGCCTTTAAGTTAATTCAATTTGTCGGCGTTAATTCTACACAACTGTGAGGTGCGAACCTAAACCGGTGTGTTTAGATATTTTGAAAACTTTCCCACACTTATGCTTGTTCGCTGTAAATATTTAAATGGTTTTAACAGTAACTTTGAAATATTTAGAAAAATCTATACCTATTTATAATCAACAAAAGGGTTAAAAGCTTAAATGATATGGCAATTAAATGCACGAATGTATCTTTATTATTGCTTATAAAACAATTGTCTTATTAAAAACATTCTACCATAAAAAAAAATATTATGAAAATATTTTTTTGGATTCTTTTGGAATATACGAGTATATATACCCAATATGATTATTTATTGATGACACACTTTACAATTACTACTTTAGTCCAATATGTTGTTTCATTTTTTTAAATAGGTACTAACTTTTACGTTATAATCAATATACTATAAGAACTCTACCTAAAATAATACAACACTATTATTATTGAACTAGAATTGGCACTGGAAGAGTTATGCAAAAGCAATTGTCAATTTAGCGAAAATCTCGTGCCAAAACTAAGTACTTATTATACATAACTTTCACAAATACATTTATGTGTAAAAAGTATTTTAATCTAAATAATATTTAAAGGACATTCCCAATAATCAATTTAGTTACCTTGAGGGAAAACCCTACAAAACTCCATATAACTGATATCGTTTTTTACAGGAATGCTCGGTGTTCGTTTTTGATAAACGCATCGCCGATAAACTCTATAAGCCGAAGCGAAAGGAAACTATGCTAGATCGCATAAAAGCATGTATTATTGCTATGGACAAGATGCGACACCCACGGATGCTGCAGATCATACACTCCTTGGAGGAAGGACACCACACACTGGCATTCGCATCCGAGTCCGTATATGCGAGTTTGGAGAATATACTTGCTTGGCATGTAAGTAGTCTTATACATATAATGAAATTGTAGTGAGTACAAAGTTGTAGGTAGAGACAGTAGTAGCCCAGTGGCAACGCGTTCGCTGGAAAAACTCAGTGAAGCAGGTGCAAATCCCAGGTCACGCACGTCTGATATTTTCATGTGCAAATAATTACCAACATAATTACCATTTGTCTTACGGTTAAAGAAAACATCGTCAGGAAACCTGCATGTCTGAGAGAACCTAGCAAGTTTTCGATAGACATGTAAAGTCCGCTAACCCTTACTTGGTCCGCGTGGTGGACTATGGCGTGATCCCCCTCATATTGAAGGGAGGCCCGTGCCCAGCAGTGAGATGTTAAAAAGGGCTGCTTACAATAGTTCTGTTTGAATCTTGTAACTCTGCCTGCGTAAATATCTACTCACTGCCAGCCAACATCCTAGGCAAATTCGGTTAGTACGATTCATGACCGTAAAGACTTGCTAGTAGCATAGCTAGTTATAAATATGAAATTTTGACATTTTCTTGTTAAAGAATATCTGAGTTACTAGAGAATCTATATTATGTTCAGTTATTAGAATGTTTATCTTTTTAACCATGGAGCGTTAAGAACGTTTACGGAATTCAAATAAACCTTTTTGTTCTAAAAACAATAGTATATTTTGATTTGACTTAGTACAGTTCTTCAACTACGTAGTTTTCATAATTTAGCGCTACGAACCATCACCTAATTGGCATAAAGCAGTAGATGTAAAGCGAAAATGAGCCTTTGTGATCTACACAAAAGAAAATTTACATTGAAAAGAACAATTTTCAAAATACTAAATGATGCAATAATTTCGATAAAGGAATTTTTAAACCAAAGTCCGTTCCCGGGAGTCCCAAGTATATAAAAAGCTACAATACCAATTACCTCTATGAAAATCTATCGCAAGGCTTCCTCGCTTCACTCAGTTATAACAAACACTGTAATATTTCCAAATAACTTTTTCAACTCTCGTGGGCTTTTTTAGGATTAAAAGTAATATTTTCAGCATTTATTTCAATTCCATTAAAATCAATTCAGTATTTGCCATTGAAAAAAGATAATCTCTTCTCTCTCTCGTCCGTAAGGAGGTTATCCTACAGTTATAAATTCACATCATTATAAAATAAAACTGTCTTTCGGATTTTGTCGCGGTTTTATTTTAAAATATTTTAGTTCCCGACGTTTCGAATGCTTAACGGCAAATATAGTCACGGGAGATACTAAAGTTTTCGACGTCTCAAAAGTCAATATATAACTAATAACTATGTACTATATTTTAATCAAGTATAGGTATAATTTTATTTTAAATATTAAATTTTAATTTGGTTTGCTTGGTTGTTATAATTGTACAATTTATTAAAGTTCCCATAATTTACATTAATATAATATATGGATGGTGACTAGTACAAAATTTTACCTTTACTTACGATAATTTTTGAGACTTTTAAGGTACCTTTCTTACCTTATTTATAGGCAGAATAATATCGTCTACTAATATTTATAGAATCAGGTTACAGTTGGCGAAAATGTCTCGCAATATTGGCGCAATTGAGTAGGTACATATTGTACCGCCTTTATAAATCATTCAAGAACATTTTATTGTGCTTGAAAACATAATTGAAATAATAATTCGATTCATATAGGTACGCTTTTTCTGGATATGTAATAGAAAATAGATTTGGCGACCTGAATAAGATTTATTTTCATCTGCTATTCATATTTCTAACAATACAGCACTTGATGGGTATACCATTAGTATATTATATTAAGATTTTTAATAGTTTCTTTTTGTTGTTACAATATTTCGACGCAATCATTTATCTGTTTATATATCGTTCCGTATCCGTTTATATATCACTGTCCTATATATGTATATAATAATAATTTATTATATATATACATTCTTTCTATAAGGACAACAATTTTATTGAAATCCTCTTAGCACGAATCTAATAGTACACTGTCATTATTACTTACTAGGGTTCCGTACCTGAAGGGTGCCAACGAGACCCTATTACTAAGCCTCCGCTGTCCGTCCATCTGTCTGTCAGTGGGCTGTATCTCATGAACTGAAATGACATGAAATATTAAAATACGTAAAGATTTGAAATATTCACAAAGTTTGTACTATTGCCGCTATAGGAACAAATAATAAAAACACAAAATGGCGAATTTCTAAAATGGCCGCCATACATATTTAAAAAAAATCGATTAATACATAGTGTTATATCTTGTATGATATTACGGAACTCATCGTGCGAGAGTCCGACTCGCACTTGACCACATTTGTTTTTCCAATGCAATCCAATGCTGAGCAGTCGAGCTTATATATATTTACTATACAAATCTAAATGATTTACAAATTAATTTACTAGTCAACATTCAAGCAAATAATTCATCAACTTAAATCGAGTTAGTAGAGAAAAAAATCTATAAGAAAAAAAATATTATATCAATCTCCACGTTTTAAGGCACACCGTGGTATTGATCATACATATGTTAAGATAATTTTGTGTAATCGACATTACAAACTAAAACTATATCCTTATATAGAAATCCTTATTATTCATCCATTTTGATGTAATTCTATAGTAATAGCAATTGTTAAATTCTATTTAGTTGATGTTCTGTTGTGTTCCGTAAGGAATCCCTACATCAGTATCTGTAAGACAGGGGCCTTATACTAGATTTCAATAATGTGTACAAACACAAACGTACGTCGTATGTACATATACGACACGCTAATGCCACGATTCTATAAATAAATCTGTAATATCTGGAGAAATCGATTAATTTTAGCTTATTGATGTATAATTATCTTATAATTTTTTTATGGTATTCAGTGACAAACGAGAAGACAGCCCACCTGATGGAAAGCGTTACCTGTCGCCCGTAACACCTACGGTTCATGCACTTAGATTTTGTTACAAAAATACAGAACCGCAGGTGCGTTGTCACTGTGCGGACTAAGATGATATGCCTCTTGCCTGTAATTGCGCTGGCTACTTTATCCTTCAAACCGGAACACAACAATATGATCATTGTTGCTTGGCAGGAGAAATAGACAAGGGGGTGGTACCCATCCAGTCGGACTCCTCAGACTTGACAGAGTTCTACCAAGTCATAATTCATGTTACTTAATGTGTATTATACAGCCTAATATTTACCTTAGTATTTCATTGTCGAAGCCTCTCATGTCACAATAATTATTATTAATGTATTAAACCTTCCATTGACTGTTTCAATCATAATGCTTCGATATTAACCTTGTACCTTCTGGCTAATATAGGGGATGGTTACATCAAGTTTTTAATTATAAAATACTAGCGACTCATCCTGGCTTCGCTCAGGTTCGTTTCTAGCTTGATTCCCCATACAAAAAAAAATCCTATCCTAGTCCTAACTCACCAACTCACATACTCACAATATCACAAACTCACAAACTTTACCTCTTTATAATATTAGTATAGATGAAACTCAGCTTTTAGTAAAATTAAACCCGAAATATTTTATTTCTCTTAAATGGCAAAATAATGAAAAATATTTACCGTTTTCTTTCAATTTTTTTATAAATGTTAAGGTAAGGACTTCTAAGATATTTCATTATTTTAAATATATATTTTTTTTGTCTTTAGCTTGTTTACGTTTTTGGTTACCGACGTTTCGAATATAGTGTATTTTTATATATATATATATATATATATATATATATATATATATATATATATATATATTATTATAACAAAGTAAAACAAGTAAATATTCCAGAATATTTTGATATTTTTTCTCATAAATAAGCCTGTTAATTCTTTTTGTTTTAACCCCGCAATATTGTTACCGACGGCTAACCGCACCGGCCCTTCAGAACATTCTACCACTCTAAGTCACTTACATTCATTACATTTTTAGTCATTAGCCACAAACCCACAGATTAAAGTGCTAAGATGAATGTTATTATTAAACAGTTATAGTCGCATTTAATACTAAATACTATTTAAAAGATGGTACACATTAATTTGTAAAAGTATCCATATGGATATAAGGGAATAAAAATATATTGCATTCAATGTCAATTTACGTATTGGACGGAATCATAATATAATGCCTATCTCAGTATTCGATTACATTCTTTCAGAGCATTTCAAACATTGTATACACAGAAGTATTGACTTTATATCCAGTTCAAAATCTAACAATGAACGAATGATTTTGAGCTCTCCAATTTATATTATTTTTATACATGTATTCAAAGGGTTCAAAAATATCCTCCATAACCTATAGGATCCTTATTATATATGATATATCCATACTAATATTATAAATGTGAAAGTGTGTTTGTTTGTTTGTCTTTCTTTCACGTTGAAACGGCTTGACGGATTGTCGTGATTTTTTGTGTGGAGATAGTTGGATGGCTGGAGAGTGACATAGGCTTTTTACCGCGGGAGATTATCTCTTTCCCACGGAAAAACAAGTTATAAAACAATCCAAAAAAATATTTATGATCAGAATTACTTGAAACTTGGTATAAATAATTTTCAATACAATTAATTAAATACATGTTTTAGCATTTTTCGAAATTCGTCTCATAAGGGGGTAAAATAGCGGATAAAAGTTTGTATGAAACCTACCTTTTTAAAGTTTTTTTGTAGTTTTAGCGCGCATGAAGCCGCGGGTTCCGCTAGTAATAAATTTCTCAACGTAATTTATTTTAATATACTCGTATATATTTTTTAATAGCGACTTACCCCCGCTCACTTCTGGTTTTTTTAAATATATATATATATATATATATATATATATATATATATATATATATAATGGTGATAGAGGTGATTTTTTTAAATATATATGTATTTATATTTAAATTATAAGATGATTACCTTAAAATGGAATAATTATTATATTTTTAAGTAATTTTAATGTCCATCTCCCTTTAGTTATACCCTCATATAATTTTAACTATGAAATATTCTTTATTTTTCAAAATTGCTTGCCACCAGGATTCTTCCCCGCTGCCAGCAGGCGTCAAGCCGCCTGTCATGCCGCACCCCATATCGTTGACCCCACCTACTGTGCCTCCGAAGTACGTACCATCGCCGAGGCCACCTTTTGCCAGGGAATACAACTTCCTGGACATTGAACTGCGCTTCGGCATACTGCAGGTAAGATACAGTTACAAATAATCCACAAAGATACGGTCTACTTCAATCTGATCTATCTGTGATATCCCTTAGACAGTTTAATAATAACGTCTTAAACATTATGTCAAATTCTTACCGCTAGTAAGAAATATTAAAGATTAACAGGATAATGGGAACCTCTGATAATTATCTTTTTACACCTACCATTTATAACTTTCATTGCCGATTTTTTTAATGATAATATTACATTAAAACCGTGATTCAAAAAGTAATTACTTGGCTACTAACTAAAGGCTGCACATAATTTTCTGACGCTTAAGGTTCCGTTTATATTACTTAGGAGCAATTTTTAATTTTTACATATTTCCAATTCGATTTTTTAAAACAACATTTAGTTAAAAAAATAAAGTAAAATATATAAAAATGTGGCTTTGTCACACCACGATTTTAAAAAGACAAAAATACAACTAACCTTTAAAAATGATTTTTAAAATTTAAATGGTAAATTTTAACAACAATTTTCTAAATGGACGCTATAAAAATTCTAAAATCTGCTCCGGAGAGTGGTACATAATCGAATTACTCTTCGCCCACGTCTGACACCGACGATCATATTTTCGAAGATAATCTGTTTAAAAGATCACGCGATGTGGGTGTCACAGTGCAGCAGAAAATTTTAAATTTCTCGTGGACGTGATCGCTTACGATTGAACGCTTCTGCCTAATTGCGTTTGCTACTAGATCAATTTTAGGATTTACAAAAATGAACTAACTACATAAAAAACAATATTAAGAGATGAAAAGGTAAAGCATTATGAGATTAAAAAATAAACCTATAAATCTTAATATATGTGGCTATAGTGGTCCTACGATGATGTGACAACGGTACTATCTGCCTGATTATTAACAAAGGAATCTGAAGGATCTGGGTCCTTTTCCCTCATAGATTGAATAGATTGGTCGTCGAGACATAATCTGGCTAAGAATTTTTGGGATCGTGGAATGGGAAACGTCATGTCCACGTCTTTTAGTTACCCATTGAGATAGATATATAGGAAAAGCTTCTTTGTAATGTAAGATTTATCAAAAACCAATAAGAATTTCATGTAAAACTAATTTGTCGACAATCTCTCAATTTAGCACTTCAAATAAAACATTTATTATTAATTATTCTATTTCACTTAACTTTTAGACTTTTTTTATTCAATTGCAACACATTTGAATGTAACGACTGTTTTATTTATATAATGCGAAAATAGACATTTTTTTTTTTTAGAAAAGAACCTACATATATAAATAAACTGAAAACGCAAAACCTTATCTAAATAAAATAAGAAAAATAGGTCAAGTGCGAGTCGGACTCGTACATGAAGGATTCCGTACCATAATCTTTTTTTTTAAATTACATGGCAGCTTTTTTGAAATTCGCCAACTTGTTTCTATTATTATTTGTTGTTATAGCGGCAATAGGAACACACACTCTGTAAAAATTTCAACTGTCTACCTATTACAGTTCATAAGATACAGCCCTCTGACGGACGGACGGACAGCGAAGGCTTAGTAATAATAGGTTTCCGTTGGCCCCCTCAAAATGATCCAAATCGTTAGTATCGTTGTATGAAGTTTGTATGTATGGAGTTTCTATACTAAAAGTATAAAACGCTAATTTTACATTATCACATGTAAATATGTATGTATGTCTTATTTGAAAGTAAGCACATCACAGCGAAGACAAACTTTGTCTGCATTTCAGAGGCGGATTACTTGAGAGTAAGTATGATAACTCTCGGTCGCTTTCATAAAATATACTCGTATTATTATTATAATTTATTGGTTCTTGGAGTTTTCTAGCTTCTTTATTTATAATATCTATGATGACCCTAGAATATCAAAGGCACCAGACAAATATAACTAAAACTACTAAAGATGATATTATTCATTAAATGAAACCCTTCATAAAATTATTATTTTATATCTAAATAAAGAACACTAACACAGCCAAATTCGCTCAAACATTCCTCCCCGTCTGACGGTCCGTCTTTGTGTCTGTCCGGCCGTCCGCCTATCCGTCTATCTGTCTGTCTGTCTGCCTGGGAATGCATCACGAGGTAACCACTTGCAGATTTTGATGAAATTTGGTATGATGATAGCTGGTTACCCGGGTCAACGTATAGGATACTTTTTATTATCGGAAAATATTTCTGATAATTCTATGTTAACCGTTAAAACTTAGGGACGAACTCGATCGGAGCGAGGGTGAGTCGCTAGTTTATAAATAAACTATGCGCAGTCAATATTGAATGACCCATTTTACTGAAATTAACATATCTACATAATGTACATTTGTATTTACATTTATTTTGAACATTTTACTTTATAAATACAGCATTTTTAACAAAAGTATATCCACAAACTATACTTACTATTGAAAACGAAACAATACATGAATACCTACATGTTTTATATAAACTAATCCCTTCTCATCCTTGTGTTTCTTTAAGAGTGATCAATGGTCTCTATGCGAGCTCTCAATCTTAGATGTATGGTAGCATTAAGCAACTTCAATTCAATTTAAGAAATTTATCTTATTTGAATACAGCTATTTCTATTTATATGAAAAATGTTATTACTTAAAATTGTTATTCACAAATTATTGCGAAATTTACTTAAATAGATGCTGATTAGACGTGTAAGGAATATGAGACAATTTATTCATTGTTTTATAATTTTGTTTAAGAAGGATTTTGTATTTTTATTTCTTAAATTTAATATATTTATTACATTATAAACATTTAAAGATGACCTCAAAAAGCAAAAAAGGAACTCTAATAGGATCACTTCGTTGTCCGTCTGTCTGTTTGTCAAGCCTCATCAGCATGTCAGCATTCCTGCGTGGAGTTTCAAGTTGAAATTAATATGAAATAAGAAGTCGGCAATCTCTTGAAGCTGTGAAAAAATAAACTTCTAAGTCAATGCAATCAAAAGATACCGCTCGAATATTTATGTCGCATATTTTGACGACACTTGCAAGAAAATCAAAACACTAGGGTACTTTTCGTTGAATTAGAATCATGGATAAGAAGAAGCATGTCTTATAACACAAGTAAAGGGAAAAATGCAAAAACCTAAAATTAGTAGTTACATTACAAAAAAAATGTGATTATAAACTTATATATTTTAATGTCTCATGCCACTGCGCCTTCAGTGTGCTAGTCAGATTCGCACTTATTCATTTTTTTTATCTACTTCTTTATGAATATTTACACTCAATCTTAAATTTCAATCTATACTAATATTATAAACAGGTAAAGTTTGTGAGTTTGTGGGTTTGTGAGGTCGTAGGGGGTAATCTTTGGATCTACTGAACCGATTTAGATGAAATTTGGTAAGAAGATAGTTTGTGACTTTGGGAAGGAGATATAATAGTTTTTATCCCGGAAATCATCCCTTAAGGGGGTGAAATTGGGGACAGTATTTTGTATTGGGAAGCAAGCTAGGGACGAACCCGAGCGAAGCCAGGGTGAGTCGCTAGCTATAAATATATATATTGATTTGTTTTATATATATATATATATATAAAACAAATCACGTATTGATTAATTTAAAGTCATGTCCGCACAAAATTGTGGCTATAATACTAGTTATATTGTCTCCCTGAATAGCAAAAACCAACTCTTTGGGCAAATATAAACTTTTTTTCTTTAATAATGATCTATTATACAAGTGAGTATCAAATATGCGTACTTGAGAATGTGCCGTAAATGTTTATTCCAGATTTTATTATAAGTTGCTTGAAAATGCGAGCATAAACCTTAGCCGCCATACAACGCGTAGAATTCCGTAGATACTCGTAGGTGTTGTTCGTCTTTAAAATCATTCTTCGTCTACAAGGATATTGTAATCTATAAGTGAAAGAGCTGAGTTTTGTTTTGTTGGTAGCGATTTTGTGTCCTACTTTGATTGAATCTAAATAGCTATAACAAAACGCAAAAATAAAAACTTGTTAAAATATACACGTCCTTTTATTAGTTTATTTATCCTACTGATAGCAATAATATAATAAATCATATATACAAATTGTATTTATACGAGATAAGTATCATTACTAAAATATTATATGTATGTATATATATATATATATATATATATATATATATATTCGTATTTATTTGATCCAATTTTGGCCAATCGTGACCTCTTAATAATTTAAGATTTTGTCTTAAGATTGACTAAAAATATTAAGATTATCTTAATTTTTAGTTTTAAATTATAAATGTATTTATATTTTTTTTTCTTACGAGTACTTAAATATATTACTATAAGTTTATATGCATTAAGTAGGAAGCTATTATTTTAACATTACAAACAAAAATACTTCAATTTTATTTATCTGTATAGATTATAAAATTGTTAAGTTATACAATCATTGAGGTTGTTAAGTTTTAAAAATGCAAGAAGGTTGAATAGTACCCAATAGAAGCGTTATTGATCTATGTTTTGTATTGGAATATTATAGTTAGAATATTTCAATATTAAAAAATCATAAATCTTTCGGATTATTTCGCGGATTTATTTTGCTTTTTAGTTGATGGACATGGGAGAGATTAAGTGAAAAAATTCGAAAAGGTTGTATTTAAAATACCAATACTAAAATAAATATTTTTTATACGAATATTGGCTTCTCATATTTTAAACTACGCAGTTTAATCTGTCGTAACCAGATAAATATATTCAAAAATTCAATGTTAAAATTCATATTTTTGAAACTTTACGGATTTCATTTCGAATATAATAATGTTTCTAGGAAATTTTATTTCAACGAATACCAAGTACTCTTCTTATATCACAATAATACAAAAATTAATATAAGTAGAAAAAGTTAGAGTGCATAATAGTGTTGTATATTCGTTCAGCCCTTTACTAACACATAGACAGACAGTCTGCTGTAGAAACCCTTGGCCCTTGGAGTCAAAGTGCTAAGTTCTTTTTAAAAGACATGACACCTCGTCTTATCACCTCTA